CGGTGTGAGAGGCTCTATCTATGTGTTGGCGCAAGGGGATAACGTGGCCACTGAAACAGGTGAGGCCCTCTCTATGCGTCAATGTGAGGCGACTAACTATGATTTGGCCCGAGGAGCGTTGTACCTCCGAGTATGAGGATGGGTGTTGGCCTCGCGGGACCACTAACCTAAGGCGAAGAAGCCAGGGGGAATTACAACTAATGGACACCCTTAGTACGCCACTGCTGGGGCCAATTCAGACAACATACAAAATCCAGCGCACTCACTCACTAAACAGCAATTTCAAGGCTTACAGAGTGTAATAGCCACAAATAATGGGGGTCTAGCTACAGTATATGATCATACATTGCATAAGCCTTCACAGGTGCCTCATTTCAGGCCCTTATATAACCTTGACCTGCAGAGAGTCCCACGAGGAAGCAATTCCCAAGTAAGTGGATTAATCTCATAAGGGCAGGCATTTGGTTGCTAGGATAGGACCTGTCAAGAATGAGGTACATTGACGTTGTGGCAGGCTTATGCAATGTATAATCATACAATGTAACTAAACCCACATTATTCTGGCTCAGGTGAGGTGTTTTTAAAGAAAACCATTACATCTTGTGAGCCTTGAAGTTGTAGAAGATTTGCTAGCAAAGTGTAGAGTGGATGAAAAATTATTTAAAAATAGACTATGCCAAAAAATTGACTGACAAGGAAAAGCTGAAGAGATCTCGCACAGGTGGTTCTCCTGCTCTCCGCACACAGTAAGTACAGCACATGGTAACCTACAGAAAAAAATGCACCTGTCATTTAAACACCAACACTACACACAAATACGCCTTTGCATCTAAATGCCAAGACACACACAAATACACCCCTGCATTCACACACACCTACACTATACAAAAACTCTCCTATATTCAGCCTGTGCCGATTCCTTTCTACCAATACAAACAAGCAAACCCGATTCAACAAATTCTAGCCCAGTACCATGTCCAATCGCATCCACATGCTGCTGTTTTAATCAAAAGGGTTTAACTCTACATAATGCCATTCCCACCTATCTATCCTCCCTAATAAACAAATATGTCCCGTCTAGGCCCCTATCCTCTGTTCATACTCCCACCTCTGATGCTTCTCTAGGACTGCACCTTTCCTGTGGAACTCCCTTCCCTTTTCCATTAGATTCTCACCCAGTCTCCACTCCTTCAAAAAATAATTAAAAACTAACTTTTTCACAAATGCATGTCAATTAAACTGTTAATGGCTCCCAACTGATTCCTCCCCTGCAACTGTCATTAAAAAAAAAAAAAAAAAACACACTAAGTCTTCAGTGAATACTATTCTACCAATCTACTTTCCTAATACTATCCTTACCTTTTGTGTCACTACTGTATATCCCACTCCCTCTAGCATGTAAGCTCATTGAGCAGGGCCCTCAACCCCTCTGTTCCTGTGTGTCCAACTTGTCTGGTTACAATTACATGTCTGTTTGTCCACCCACTGTAAAGCATTACCCACTGTAATTTGTTGGTGCTATATAATAATAATAATAATAATAATAATAATAATAATAATGACGTGCAAATGCCACGCTTTCATGCTGAAGAAAGTCATAACTATTAAAAATGTATTATAGATATAGAGTTTCTATGTGCAAACTCCTAAACATATTTCCTCTTATTACCACCAATAAAATACACCTTTGTTCGTGCATATGTTTTCCTCGCTTTACCGTTGTAATTACAGTATATACTGCATTCACAGTTATAAGATTACACAACGTCTTGTATGTGTGCACACAGTTTCTCTTCCCCTTCTCTTTTTATTGTTTAAGAAAGTAATAAATTACATTTACGGCATTACGTGAAGATGATCTTTGTGCTTGTTTTTTTACTTGTTTTTGCGTGTGTGTGTATATGTACATTGTATGCATTCAACCCTCCATACTTATTTCAGTGCCCTAATTGGCTCCCACAGAACAAATTAGTTTGACACCCTTGCTCTACAGTGTGAGTAGCAGATGTCCATAGAACCACCCTTTCCTAAACCTGCAGAAGAGTAAAGGCTGATTGCCAGGCTGTTGTTCCACTAATTTGTCCCAGGTTTCTTTTTCAAACAGGTTTAAAGTAAGTGTTATTACAACCAGCTTCCAGTCAATTCCTCATGGCACACAGAACAGGCTGGGATTAGAATTTCAACCATAACCATGCTCATTCAACAGGGCAGTGGCACACAATCCTTAAGGCACATCTATAGTCTAGGATTTGGACATTTCCAGTTCTGTTCCATAGGAGATACACACACAACCTGTACTGATGATGTGCCTTAAAAGAACACTATAGGCACCGAACCAACTTTAGCTTAATGGAGTAGTTTTTGGTGTATAAATCATGCCCCTGCAGTCTCACTGCCTAATTCTCTGCCATTTGGGAATTAAATCACTTTGTTTGCAGATGTAGCCACACCTTTCTGCATGTGACTTACACATCCTTCTTAGACACTTAGACACAATTTCTGTTCTCCTGCTTTGTTGATATCCTTCTAGACCCTGCAGGAACCTCCTGTGTGTGATTAAAGTTCAGTTTACAGAGCAGGAGATAAAAACTTCTAAAGTTAACATGATGATTGACTTATCGACAGTGAAACATTTAAAAAAAAAAATTCATGCAGGCTGTGTGAGTCACGGCCAGGGAGGTGTGGTTAGGGCATTTGAGCAGTGAATTGAGAATTGAGCAGCGAGACTGCAGGGGCATCTATACACCAAAACTGCTTCATTAAGTTGTTTTGATGCCTATAGTGTCCATTTAAGGACTGGCTTGGGGACCACTGCACTTTAGAAAAATTACTCTGAATATAGGTGAGGTCTCAATGGGACACCAGCACAACAGATGGTGTTAAATAAAACAAGCTCGGAAGGAAGAGGGGATTTATAACTGTCGATACAAAATCATTTCCGCGTACTGAAAGCTGGACAAAACATGCATATTGTATCTCACGGCCATGTATGCTCCTTTTCAATAGTGCTTATATCTCTGAAGCCGGTACTGTAACATTCTTGATAAAAACAAAAATGAAAAAATAAAGAATCTTTAAAAAAAACATACAAAAACTGATTATGTTTAATTCTGATGATATGAAGATTAAAAAAAAAACATTTCCTGTAAAACTCTTTACATTGCATTTAAACCTTTGTATTGCCAATATATTCTGAATGCAATCTGAAATAAACTTCAGAATGAAAATTCATTTTATTTTTGTGCAAAGTTTCAAAGCACAGTCTAAGTATTGGAAGATCAGGAGAAAGTTTGTACTGTGCGTTTTGTTTCTGTTACAGGTCATTCTGCTCTGTTGATTGACATAATGTTTTCGGTGCACACATCGACGGTTTATATACTGGAAATCCCAACTCACCACAATAGTAATTTGATCCAGGAAACAATGTTAAGTAAAGGAAAAGAAATCACATTGTGCTATTATAGAGGCTTGTGCACATTTCCCCGGTATGATATTTAATATGATATCACGGCTCTTCAGAATGCGTATTATTACTGGTTCATTGATCATTTAAGCATTTAATATAATCCACTTTAATATAATCCACTGTGCCACCTACGTCTGCAGAACAGTAAAAACAACAGGTTTTTGGAATGTGGCTCATTCATGACACTAGAATTCAACTTCAGAGCTTATCCCAACAGTGAGTTTGATCGAGAATTCAATGTGTATTTTAAAGTATAGGCAAAACGAGATAAATTGCAAATTATCTCTGAGTTTTCAGTTTGCCTATTTTGGTTTAAAAGTTGAAAATCCCTTAAAGTTCACTTTGCATTCCAATCAATTTGTCTTAGTTAATAAACTTAACGGTGCAATTATCTAGTTGTTTTGGGTGTGTCGCTGGGATTGAAAACCGTATGTTAGTTCTACAGAATTATTCTTCCAGGTATGTTTGTTAAAGGATCACTATAGTGTCAGGAAAACAAACCCAAAGTTTCTCTGAAACTGCTATGTTTCATCTGAAGGGTTAAAACCTGGGGGACCTGGCACCCAGACCACTTCATTGAGTTTAAATTTCACATGATGAGGATCCAGTTCCACCTGGGGTGCTTGTGCAAAATTCTCAGCCAACATCAATAGTAGGCCATACAACTGTAAACAAAACTGGCTGTGTGTGGTCGAAACCTCACCCATTTATCTGACATAAATAAAAGATCATCTTGCTATTATTTTTATTATTATTTTATTATTTATATAGTACCAGCAAATTCCGTAGCACTGTTGAGATTGGGACTGCGCTAGAGTCCTTCTCATGCTACTGTCAAATAAGTAAAAACTGGATATCGGGCAAACGCACTAATGTCCTAAACTTCGATTTACCCTTGCCCTAAATTTAACCCCTTTCTGGTCCTGGAGTTCGTTTTCTTTATTTTTTTTTTGTAAATAAAATTTTTATTGTTTCACCGTTTTAGGAAAATGCCAGTTAACAAGTACTTTGTCTGGACTCGCAGGTCCGTCATCCAACAAAAACAAAAACAAAACAAAACCAAAAGCAAAAACAAGGAGGAGACCATCGGTTTTGCATAGGTATGTTACAATGTGGGCTCGCAGGCCCCAAGCACAAAGAGGACTCGCAGGTCCCATCAAGACATTATGAGGTTTAACAGGTGATCTACATTCCTTCTAGATGTAGGGTGCTGACACCGTTCTGGTCTTATCTCTTGCCCCAGGGCCGGACTGGGGATTCCAAAGCAGCCCTGGAAAAAAAAAATCGATGCCAGCCACATAAGTCACTGCGCCATATATTGTCGCATGTAATATGTAAGGCTATGTCTTGCCTCCCTAGATGATTGAGATATATATATATATATCTTTTTCCAATATAAAATATTGGTCCTTTCAGAGTAAAATTTTTAATTATACAGTAAGCATACTCACATGCAGACACAGACAATCTCACTGACACAAGCTGATTGATACACAGCCTCATAGACAAACAATCTCACTGATATACATAAGGTCATTGACATAAAAACACAAGCTCACTCAGTAGCAGGCACACACACACACACACACACAAGCAAGCCCACTCACGAGCAGGCACGCACACACACATAGCTTAATGTAGTGGCTCTGGTGTCTATAGCCTGTCCCTGCAGGCTTTTCAATGTAAACACTGACTTTTTAGAGAAAAGGCAGTGTTTACATTGCTTCCTAGTGACAGACACTCAGACGGTCACTAGAGGTGCTTCCTGTGTCAGTGCGGATTGGCTGAGATCATCAAGCTTAATGATCTCAGCCGTAGAGGCAGGGCCAGTCGAGGGGAGACCAGCACGACATGGGGGGGGAAAAAAAGGTGAGTAAAAACACACATACACACAGACACACCATGACAGACAGACACACCATGACACAGACAGGCACACACACACCATGACAGAGACAGACACATACCATGACAGACACACCTTAAAAAAGACACACACACCTTGACACAGACACACACACGCCACAGACAGACACACCATGACACACAGACACACACCACGACAAACACACACCATGACAATCACACACACACCATGACAGACAGACCGTGACACAGACAGACGCACACACCATGACAGTCAGAGACACACACACCATGACACAGACACACATTGCATGACACAGGCAGACACACACACACCATGACACAGACGCACACACCATGACAGACAGAGACACACACCATGACACAGACGCACACACCATGACAGACATAGACACACAGAGACACATAATGACACAGACAGACACACACACACACACCATGACACAGACACACACACCATGACACATACAGACACACCATGACACAGACAGACACACACACAAATGACACAGACACACACATACACTCACACTGACACACACAATGTCTACCTGGGGCTGTGGGGAGCTCCCTTGGCGGCCGCAGGGGGAGCTGGCTGTTCTGTCTCTGCTCCCCCTCCCCAGCACACTGCTTATTGAGACCGAGGCCGGAATATGACGTCATATTCCGGCCCCGGTCTCTTTGTAGCGCGCTGGGGAGGGGGAGCAGAGACAGAACAGCCAGCTCCCCATGCGGCCACCAAGGGAGCTCCCTCTGTGGCTGCAGGTGAGCCAGCTGCCTGCCCGGCCCCAGGTGCCGACGGCCCACCGGGAAATTTCCTGGTATCCCGGTGGGCCAGTCCGGCCCTGTCTTGCCCTCTGGCTACTATTTGTGCAGCATGTGTGGTCATCAGCGTGCCCTGTTCAATCTATTCCCTTTTATGTGGTGAGATGCTCCCGTCCCTAAGTGGTCCTTGGCAGTTGTGTTTCGTCCCCTCCGCACCACTGAGGTTGTTACTTTCTATGTAGCGGGCTTCCTCTATGTGTACCTCCCGGGTTACCCTTTCTATTATAGTTCTAGATGGTCCTTGCCGTCCCGCAGAGCTTGTGGTCTGTGGGTAGGGGTGACTGAGGTTGTAGAGGTAGGCTATAGTGGGAGAGCGTCGGGGGGTCTGGGGTCTGTCAACATCCAAAGTCTGTAACGTGTTGGGGTTTTGTATTCTGTCCCTGTTGTTGGGCTTATGATTTGTCCAGAAAATCTGGTTTTATCGCCTTCAGTAGCCAGTGCGTCCATATGTTAAGGTAGGTTTGGTGTGTGTTATTCGCGGAAGCGTGAAGATCCTCTAGGGATCTTTGCTCTTCCATTTGTGTGAACCAGGTTCTCAGTGGCAGGGTGATCGGTTGTTTCCAGTGTTGTGGAATGATTGTTTTTACCTCTCCCAAAGCTTGGTTGTATAGGGAGAGGTATTAGCAGTAGAAAGAGGGAAGTGCTCATGCCATTGTACAGAACACTGGTGAGACCTCACTTGGAGTATTGTACACAGTACTGGAGACCGTATCTTCAGAAGGATATTGATACCTTAGAGAGGGTTCAGAGAAGGGCTACTAAACTGGTTCATGGATTGCGGGATAAAACTTACCAGGAAAGGTTAAAGGATCTTAACATGTATAGCTTGGAGGAAAGACGAGACAGGGGGGATATGATAGAAACATTTAAATATATAAAGGGACTCAACACAGTAAAGGAGGAGACTATATTTAAAAGAAGAAAAACTACCACAACAAGAGGACATAGTCTTAAATTAGAGGGACAAAGGTTTAAAAATAATATCAGGAAGTATTACTTTACTGAGAGGGTAGTGGATGCATGGAATAGCCTTCCAGCTGAAGTGGTAGAGGTTAACACAGTAAAGGAGTTTAAGCATGCGTGGGATAGGCATAAGGCTATCCTAACTATAAGATAAGACTAGGGACTAATGAAAGTATTTAGAAAATTGGGCAGACTAGATGGGCCGAATGGTTCTTATCTGCCGTCACATTCTATGTTTCTATGTTTCTATATTTAGCATGCGTATCATCAGTGATTTCTTATAGAGGGACTGGGACACCTTGGTGTGGTTTAGAAGCATTTCGGCAGGACTAAATGGGAGTGGGTCGTCCGAGAATTGTCCTATTATTGTGTGTATTTCCTTCCAGAACGGGACAATCTTGCTGCACTCCCACCAGATGTGCAGGAGCATGCCCCTCTCCTCGCCACATCTCCAGCACGTTGTGGAGTGGTCCAGAATGTGTGCGTTTAGTGTGGCAGAGGTGCCATACCAGTGTGTTAGTAGTTTGTACGCTGTTTCCTGTGTCTTACTGAAGCTGGAGCAATGGTGCGTGAGGTAGCAGAATTTTTCCCATTCTGTCTTGTCGAATGTGCGGCCCAAGGCCGCCTCCCATTTTCCCACAATGCTTGGTTGTGCAATTGGTGTTTGTGTCAGAAGTGAGGTGTATATGAGGGAGACTCCATGAGTTAGCGGGTCTGGGTTTAGGCAGACTTCCTCAAAGTAGGTGTGGGCTCTTGATAGTCGCCCCCTGTGGGAGCATTGCGATGTAGCTCTGAATTTGTTTATGTTTTAGGTGCATCAAGAGAGTATGTTCTGTGTCCCCCCTTAAGTCGCTGAGTGTCTTAAGACCATTTGTCGTGTAGACGTGTCTGAGTCTAGGTAGTGGATCCTGTACTAGTGTTTTGAACGCTTTTGGGTCTAATCCCGGTGGGAAGTCCGGGTTGTGTGTCAGTGGGAGCAGGGGTGATGGGTATGGTGCTAGATCATGTCTCCCCTTAGTGCGGTGCCACTCTTGCAAGGTAGTCTTTATGGTTCGTTTTCTTTATGAGGGGCTTTTCCTGAGGCAACAGGAAGATCAAAAGATCTCCCTGCTCAGCCATGTACCCACTCACTACCTCGAGGGAGACTTGTGGTCTGCACCTCTATGTGGTGCAGATCCCTTCAAAGCTCCCCGAAAGGGAGGATAGTGGTTCAGACCACAACGCTCCCTCTCTGGACCACCACAGACCTTTATTTTATTTAATTAGGTGTGCATGAAAAGGAGATGCATATCATTATATACATTTAACCAGAACGAACTAAACCTGTCTAACAGGCATTACAATAATAACAATAATGGTTACAGGTTAGAATTTATTATGAAATCAGCCTATTGTGATATGTTTGGCTGGTGTACATGAAACTGAATGTTTAGCATACTTCACAGAATGTACAATGCATAGAGCACCCTCTACTGGCTAAAATGCAATATGCACCACGTGTTGCTTAATAGAAGAATGAGTAAGGAGAGGTCTAGTTATTTGCACAAACAAGTGTTTCGACCCTCCACCATAGATATTATTATTATATATAGATTTTTTTTTAAATTGTGTTCCTTTAAATTGTTAGGAGTGTTTGCAGATTTTTTGTAAAAATGTTGCACAGAGTAAAAAAAAACCTTGTTCACTTCAAAAAGACATGGTGTCATTACAGCGACTATATATTCTGCCTCTGCGTATGAAAGCGCATAATAGCCCTGGTGTGTCTAGTGTGCAATTGATGCAGGTTACAGTAGTGTACACTGTGATGTAGGTTTAGGGGTATTTGTATTAAGGGTGGTTAATGGTATGTAGCTATGTTGTTTGTTTGTTTTTTTAAACCTTATGTGGTTAAACCATATACGAACAATTTAATCCCCCAAAGTCCTGTCAACAGCACCCATCCAATCATTTACACTAGCTTACCTACCACTCAGCATCACTTATTAAGTTACGGATATCCATTGAGTTACCTAGTGTTAGAATAAGTCCCCCTTAACGATGAGCTCCCAAACTGCCTATAATACACATGACCCTTAGTTCTAAGCTACCTCAAAATTAATTAGCTCCATAGTTCGGTAACTTGTTGTCGTCCAGCGCTGTGTAATACCATATGCTAAAAGCAGTGTTAGCATTTAAACACCGCTATTTCGGCCATATTTCTCTTCTACCTAAATTGGCCGACAATGGTTTATTTGTCGTCCGACTACACAGTGACTTCCCTGCCGTGGTGGCTCACTGCACCGTCACAATGTTTTTTAGTTTTCCTTAATGTTTCTTTTACCAGGTTATTGCCATGCTAGCATGCATGCAATAGTAATATTCTGACGGCTACTTCATATTATTTACCCCCTGTCCACTATTCTTCCTATACCAAGGGGATCCTGACTCCATCACATACATGACCAGGACCTGGGGGGTGAGCAGACACTAAGAGTCACGGTTTATATTCAGTATTGATTCATTCTATTTTATTTTGTATTACAAAATGTTAATAGAATGCCTTCTCCTGCATTTCACTGCTAACAAGTATTGTTTACACTAGCTTACCTACCGCATTGTACAAGTCTCTGGATAAAGACTAACCGTAGAATGTACGTGTCTTTTAACTTACATTTGACATTTCTTTCTAATGATCCTGCTACTGCTAGAAGAGAGGTCTGCCATCTTTTGGGAACCTTCTCAATGATGCTACTTAAATATTTGCTACCTATACTACTGCCACCCAGCCATATTTCTCTACTCTTTTTGTGGAAATCAGAATTTGTCAGATTGCATTCGCATTATGATCTTCTTAACCGAGAACACAGGTTCCCAATTTGGCTGTATATCAGCAGTGCCTTTCTAGCCTGTGGAAGTGCTAGGAAGCTTTGCACCATTTTGCACTGAGTTACAGTTATTTTGTTGACTGTAGATACCTTTATGACAACTGTAACACTACTTTGATATTAGTAAATATCAGCTTTGCCAAGACCTCACTCATACCTATTAGTGATGTCGCGAACCCGAAATTTACGGTTCGCGAACGGCGAACGCGAACTTCCGCAAATGTTCGCGAACCGGCGAACCGGGCAAA